ATGTCATTTTCAGTCTACCCAGTCTTCTTCGTCAACACATTTAACCATTACACATTTGTCTCATATTTTAATATCTTTATAAGCTTGGTCCAAACATTTATATAGCTTTTTTCCCAACTTTTTTTTAAAATTACTTTTTCTAGAGATTTTGTTTTACAGTTTTGTGTTTTATGGAATCCTTTTTATAAAATCACAAATTTGTTTTTACAAAATTAATTTTGGTTTACAGTTTATTTGTTTTTTACAACTTTTTCTACATTTGTTATTATGAATGTTGTTTTTTTTTAAAAAAAATTATATCTTTATTTTTCTGCGTGTTTTTTAGCTTTTTTTCCTTTAACAAATTATTTTTTTGTCACAAAAAATCGTTTCCAAATTTACTATAAATTCATTTTCATAAAATGTAAGGTTGTATAGACATATACAAATTCCTTTTTTACATAATTGTTTTTACCAATAAGAAGTGTATACTTATATATCTATATTTGAACCTAATTCTTATATAAATTATATTTACCTTTTGTTTATATCTTTTTACAACTTTGTTTTCACAACATTGATTATATAAAATTACTTTTATTACATCTTTCATATAAATGTAATACCCTCTTTGAGGTCAAGGGTTCAAGTCCCGTCGTAGACATAGGTGGAATTAAGTGTTAGTTTAGGAGTAGATTAGTATATTTGTATTTGTCGGTTCAAAAAAAATGTAACACCCTAGTTCTATACATTTATTTCTCTTTGAGTAAATTACAAAATTAATCCCTATGGTTTAGTCAAATTTGCAGTTTCATTCCAACTTTTCAAAAAGTTTGGTTTGTTGTATATGTGTTTCCAAATCTTACAGTTTTGCTCCCCACTATGTAAATTACCTATTTACCTTTATGTATTTACTTTTTTGTTTTTATCATCTAAAATAACCATTTACCTTTATGTAAATATAATATAGTGCCCCACCCACCCACCCCAACCATCTCCATTTTTCTCCGTCTATCTTGTATTTTTTTTTTTTTGGTAACTGTCATCATTAATCAAAAAATCTCATAAGATCTCTTACCCTTCACTATTGTCCCTTACATTCACCACCGTCACCAACTTCATCTCTGGAAACTTGCAGTCATGTTGTCCTCATATAAAAAAATGACGAAATTGCAAAAATGGTCCCGGTGGTATGTATTTTTTTGGGGTTTTAGTCCAAACCTCGACTTTTTTGGATTAATGGTCCTTTTAAGCTAGTTTGCTTGCGGATTTGGTCCCTCGGTAAATTGAAATGACTGTAATGCCCTTCTGATTTATTTTTATGTTTTTTCTATTTAATTTAAATAAAAATGAAAATAATTAATTAATTTGAGTCTCTCTCTCTCTCTCTCTCTCTCTCTCTCTCTCTCTCTCTCTCTCTCTCTCTCTCTCTCTCTCTCTCCAGATTAATGAATCGTAAACCAAAACAATTCTCTGTTATAATCAAAACTCATACGCCAAAATCACTTAAAAACTCACCAATAAACCTATTTTGCCATCTTAAGAAGAATAGTTAAAGAAGAAAAATTAAGATTCTTTTTGTCTGTAAGCATTTTGTTGTGAACATCGGACATGGAAGACAATTAAAGAGAGGTGAGCAACACCTCTGTTTCCAGATGCAGTCAATGAAAGCTCGATGTAACCCATATGCCACTAAACTTGATGCAACAAAGATGAAATCAATGAAAACCCAGGTGAAATCGGACAGAGAATTTGACCAAATCGAACATGGAAATCGACCAATTAGAGCCATCTTGACAAAAACCCTTACCCTCTTCGATTTGGTGGAAGTGGTGGTGAGGAAGCAATCTTGACAGAAACCCTCACCTGATTTCAACAAATTTTCATAAATCAAATGGAGATGAAACAAAAGGATTTTTTTCATTAGAGGTTCAGTGAACAACGAGGCTTCACGATCGTTACCAATATATCAAGTTTTCCAAACTGAGTATCAATGAAATTCATCAAGGAACCAATGCTTGGCGAGTAAACCAGTGTGCAATTTTGCGATGGCATCGGTGCACCACCTACCTCCCTCGATTTCCTTTCTCATTGTTTCTGATCCTAAAAATTGCCACCGTCTCAGATCTTCAATGTCCTCTCCGATTCAAAAGTGACCCCAGTGCCTCGACCAATACCCATTCTCTATTGTTTTTTGTGCTTTTTGTCTCCGGCTACGCTCCTTATCCAACCTAGAAAAGGTTATGATGTCGTGGAAGCTCTCGAACACGAAGCTGACACCGAAATCTTCGCATACCCTCTTTATATTTCTCTTTCCCTTTCATTATTGATAATTTAGATCTAGGGTGAAGAACAGAACCAAGTATGAACGATTGTGCTTTTTCCAGATTTGTTAAAGTGTGTATCTTGGTTTTGATAGTGTAGTGTTTATTGATTTGGTTCCGTTCTTGGAAAGGAGGTGTTGATGGGTTTTTGGAGAGAGATAGAGAGAGAGAGAGAGAGAGAGAGAGAGAGACGTCCTTTATTATGTTTTAATTGTTAAAATAATTAAATAATTAGTATTAGATTTTAAAATAATGAAAGAAAAAAAAATATCCCAAGGGTATTATAGTCATTTCAATTTTCACAGGGACCATTTTCACATACAAACTAGTCCAAAAGAACCACTAATCCAAAAAAGTCCAGGTTTGGACTAAAACCCCAAAAAAATGTATACTACAGAGACCATTTTTGCAGTTTTGTCTAAAAAAATAAACAATTCTCCTTAGTTTTTTTGTGATGGATTCATCACCATAGCATATCATTAAAGAAAAATCGGGGAGATTCCTTTAAATGATAAAATTCATGGTGCATTTGGTAACTAAATAACGCCAATGTTTGTTACCGAATATGTTGAAATTGATTAAAGCAGCTCCAACTGAAATTTAACTTGTACCACTAGTCCTCTTTTTCTCTCCCCCCTAAATCATTGCTACAAAAGAGTTTTGTAAAGAGATTGGTCAATTTAGGGAGAATGAAGAGGATAATTAAGCAAAACATGATTAACAAGTTGTAGGTGTATAATAGGATGACGGTGAAGAGTCAGATTCCAAATAGTAGGGGTGTGTATGGGGCGGTTTGGTTCGGTTATTGGTTAAAACCGAACCATAACCATTATGATTGGTTAATGCATTTTCATAACCATTGGGTATGGTTAATATTGGTTATGGTTAATGGTTTTTGTTGGTTAACGGTTTTGGTTAATGGTTAATATTGGTTAACCATAATGTTCAAAATAATATAAATGGCAAAAGTATAGTTTGCATAAAAATATGAAAAGAGAATACAAAAAGTCCTCGACACCAATGTTGGTAACCTAGCTTATAGTAATAGAATAAAATGTGTACATTTGATACTCAAAGTGAGATAACACATAGTCACATTCAAAATAAAAAAACATTCAATAAAAAAGTATAAAACATTAAAAAAAAAATTGACATTAATAACTTCATATATTGATAATTGATATTAACCTTAAAATAAAGTCAAACATTCATACACCTTCAAAGCGATTAAATCAAAAACTATAAAATAAAATAACTAATCATTTATATTACGTTTTATATGGATAAAAAAAACAATCACTTATATACATTCAATGTGATTAAGTCAAAAACAGTAAATAAAAAAAAACAATTTTAAAAAAAAAAATACATTCTTAAAATATCACGAAGTGAAGAAGAACCAAAACTTAACTTGCCTAGAAGTTTTGATTATAAATTAATAAAATCCTCCAATAGAACTATAAAATCAAAACAATCTTTGATTAGGATTAACGGTGTGAGAAACCTCCGATCAAGATTATGAGTGTGAAGATTAAACTAATTGTGAATAATGTTTACAAGTTATAGAATTAGCCAATTAGGAATTACAACATTAATCAATAATCTCACTCAATGTATGATTGGAAAATTTTGTGTGTCTGCATGATCTGCGTGATCATCCTTTGATGGTTTGATTGTACGTTCGTCTCCTAATAAGTGACGATTAATGAATTATATTTTGAAATTTTAATGGGTCTTAAATAAGTTTGACTATATTATTTTATATATAATCCATAATTTTTACGTATCAAAATATAAAGTTAGCGGTTCGGTTAATAATGGTTCGGTTAACCTATAAAACCATAACCGAACCGTTTGTTATCGGTTAACAAAAATTAGAAACCGAACCAACGGTTTTTAAAACGGTTCGGTTATTATGGTTCGGTTATATTGGTTAATTTGGTTATGGTTCGGTTTTCTGGTTATTATGCTCACCCCTACCAAATAGATCATGTAAGATCACTTTCCAAACTGATATTTCCACCGAATATTTGGGTTACAATAAATTCAGTTTAAGATAATCCAAAAGGACACTTTTGAATCTACGCACAGAAACACATACCAAATTGTCATACGAATTCTAAGTTTGTTATTAAAAAAAGAGAGCTTAGAAGGGTCTAAGACGACTCAATAAAGAAGCCGTATTTATACTTTGACAAATTAGAAATTCTATCTTCTAAATTAGTTAAGAGAATCACAGATTTGATGGCTTAATTAATAGCTTCCAAAATAGATGAAAATTGTCGATCTTATCATAACCACCAGGGCTGCCCGAGCCCCTTGGACCCCACTAAGGGTGCTGCCCCTAAGACCTTGCAAGGGGGCGAGCCCCCCCTTAACCCCAACATTATGTCGTACCGACTTATAATTCAATCTTATATATTCACGCATTCCGCATTCACAAAACATATAATACAGAGTACAAAAAATAAGTCCCTTAGCTCACATATTAATTCCAATCACACAAAATGTCTTGGTGACATTAAAATCACCAACAGAAGTTGCAACACCATAATTCCTCCTCTTCCTCTTCCACCGTCTCTGTTGGGGTTTAAATGATTCAAAAACATTTAAGAATCATTGCACAACGGAAATATGACACTTCAAAATTTTACATCCACAAAAGCCATATTCAATTAGACATTCAAATAACCAACCAAGAATATCAAACATAGGATGTGTATGACTCATACCTTGCTATGTAAGCATAATTTGATATACGAGACAATGTTCAAGATTGATTACCACCATCAATAACTATACAAGAAAATACGATACGCTGATAGACACCAACAATCTTCATCATCATGAAAATCATAAACCCACTTGGGTTTACTATGTTGGTACCCATCTTCAAATGTAAGGAGGGTGTAGGAGGCTATAGGATCTTCATTGGTTCTTTGTGATGTAAGAAACCGGCGCTTTTTTGTTATATTAGTATACCCAAGTTTAGCACCAGGCAACCAAGTATGAGTTGGGTATTCAAAACTTTGCCAAAAAGGTTCAACTGAATTTGAACCAGAGTCTCTCAAAACTAAGTTTCCATCATCATGAATAAGTGTTGTTGCAGAGTTCAAAGTGGTGGTGGTGAATGTGACATTTGTCAACCAAATCTGGGACATGGAGTCATTCAAGAGCACCAAACTACCATCAATGATTTTTAGTTCTGAACGAAATCTATCAGAGATGGATGTTTCTCTGTTTGCCACCCAAACTATAATAGGAGGATTCGAATAGAGCTTCTTATAATACCAGATGCCTATGTAATAGTTGGAAGAGTTACCTGCTTTAAAGAAACCCAGCTCAAACTTTCCACCTTGGGATATGATTGTTTGGTCTCCAGACAGAGACTGGTTTGCAGAGATGGTGTTGGCTCCAGATGAGATGGTGATGGATAAAGTGAAATACAGGAGGACCACAAACCTCTCTATACTTATTTCTTTGAAGAAGCACATGACTTGTAACAAATTTGGAAAGTGAGATATATGTAGATATAGAGAGAAACAGAGATAACAGGTATCGTATCATATGCAGAAACATATCATCAGTATTGGATTTTATACAGCTCACATTCGAGCCCTGAGGTGAAGTTCTTAATTGGTTTCTAGTCAACATAAATACTAATCTAACTTCACACCACATTTAAACCTTCTTAACAAACTGACCCTACTTTTATACAAGCTTGAATGATACTGTTTGATCCTTTTTCTCTTTAACTTTTCATCAGAGTTACATTTGCCTTTACCTCTTTCCCTATCTTCCTCAGCCATATATTTTCCATATAAACTTGATGTTCCATAGATGTGGCGAAGATGGTAACAAGGATCAACATAAGAAGATGATGAAGACACAATACCTTTCATGTGAGTTGGGCATATGAACTTAACAAAATCCACTATCTCTGTGAAGCATGAGTGATCAGAATACGCAACTGTGTAGATGTAATCATGCTGTTTTTCAGTTTTATTTCTATATCTGTTTCCTGTATCCAAATCAAGAAAGAGTGATCCCATTGACTCTACTGTCTTCATAGAGGAAAGACCACAAGAAGATTTGTTTTTGTTTAGTGCCCATGGAAGGCCAGATGGCATGATGCCAATGGTGGGGCGCATGGTATTCAGTCCTTGTAGGGTTTCAATGGTAAAACTGTAACGAGGGACAGCTCGTATTCTTGTTAAAGTGGTTTTGGTTGTGAAGTTGTCATGTAATCCTAGAATATGCATTGTCTGTAATCTCTCTGGCCACACCCAAATCTGCATAATATGCACTCAATTTGATCCTGATCCTAACATATGTTGTTGACATGATAAGGAAACTATATGATTAATAGTGAATATTACCTTTACTTTCAGTGTGTTTGAGATGTAGAGTAATAAATCCTCTTTCCCTAATGAGTCTATGCCAATGATGATGTCATGCTCAGGATAAGAGTTGATGATATTCACCACCTGCAGATATAAGATTTTCAATCAGATTATGGTCCTAAAAAGCATCCGATATTATAATTTGAAATTAAATACAATAACATATATTAACTCAAATAAGGATCAAAATTGCAAGAGAAAACTTTTTGGAACCAAAATTGCAAGAAATCAGATAAACTCAGGGACAATTTTTGTAATTTACTCTAATAATAATAACAGAAGTACAAAACACATCACCTGTTGAGCAGCAATTTCCCGAGATGGAAATGAATATGATGGGTTGCAGTAGGTGTTATCTATGTAAAGGGTATCCACTTTATGATTGTTGAGAGCACTAAGAAGCATGTTCTTTCCCATCTCTGTAAATTTACTTGATACTTCCCAACGAAAATCACCAGTGTAAAGCATGTTCCCAAAATCACCACGGAATAGATACATAACTGCACCTGCCACATACAAAAAGAATAACTAGAATTAAAGAAACAACAGAAGTTTTGGATACAAATTTTCCAAATCAAGCTATACAAGAAACTTAAAAACTTGCATCATTTACATATTTGATATATGGAGGGAAAGGGTAAAGTGGTTAAATTTTTGGATTCAAGTAGTGATTGAAGCAGTTCCAGTTACAGTTTATCCAAACAAAACTTCAATCTATCACCTAGCAGAACTTTTCAATTTATCTGTCAAAGAAACCTCCAAATGAAAACAGTACAAAGTTCAATCATATTAAACAAGAGCTTTGTGATGAAAAAACAAAATCAAAATCAAGTATACCTCAACTAGTAGATCATCATGCCCAAACTAAATGGTGGAGACTCCAGAATACATTATCATGTTATTCAGTTGCGTAGTTCACCACAGATAAGTTTTAATTGGGAGGCAAAGTGTAAATCAAGCACTCACTCGATAACGAACATAATGTATTCAGAAAATGAAGTCAAACAAGTGACGAGCAATGAATTGAATCAGATCCAAAGCAGACTAACCGGGGCAATGATTGGCATCAATGGCTATAACTTCAACCCTAGTTTCCAAGCCAGACCACAATGAAACCAAAGATAACGAGTACCATTGTCCAATTTCGAGAACTCGAAGCAATGAGAAGTCGAAACCGGGGAATTTGGGAGAGAAAAGCTTAGCAGTGATGGAAGAACAGAATAGTGGACCTTTCTTCCAACGAGACGACAAGCCAGCGGTATGATCGGCGTGAAGATGAGTTAAGAAATAAATCTGACTGCCTTCAGCCCAACGATCGACTGATATCATTCCCCTCTCCATTCAAGAATGTTTAGAATTAATTTTTTCTGCGAAAACTAGGGTTCAAGGGTTGAGTCGTTGAGATGCTTAAAGTTCACTTTGGCGGGTTTTCAACTTCCAAATTTCGAAGGAATTGTGTTTCCGAGTTTGCACCTCCATTCTCCACCGAGTTTTACTCCACGATCTAATAAATGAAACGAAGGTTTTTTTTTTTTTCTTCTTCTTCTTATCGTTATGCATCCTTATTCAATTTGTTTAATATAATTTGCGATTATTTTAAATTAATTTTTTATATGTTATTTTTTGGTTTTTTGTATTTTATTAAACTTCATATAATATTTTATTTCAATAATTACAATAAATATAGTAATAAATAATTATCAATTTTATTAATCAATTTACATTTTAATTTCAAAATTAAAGCTTATTAGTTTTTTTGTTTATTTATTTAAATTATCTGTTTAAATTTAAAAGATAAAAAAAATAATTACATTATACTAATTTATTATTTTTTATATTTTCTTATAAATTCAAAGTTCTTAAATATTTTAATATTTATATTTAATTTTTTTTTAAATTAACTCATATAATACATGGATCTCACAACTAGTTTCTTAATAAAGTAAAACAAAATTATCCTTGAATGTTGTACTTAATACTCTTAAGTCTTATAATTATTAACATTTTATTTCGTTTTAATCAAATCTCATGTATCTTGTTCCCAAGTTCAATTTAACCATATGAAATAAAAGAATAGATGAAAGTAAGAAAAAAAAAATTAATGGAGTTTTATTAAAAGATGGAAGTTGAAAGAAATTGAAAGAAAAAATCTCCTAATTTTTTTTCCTAATTTGAAAGGATTTGAAGAAAATGAACAAAATGTTTAAGTTTCTTTTTATTTCTTTTTAACTCGGAAACATAAAATATAATTCTTTTTGCTTTTCCTTTCTCTCTTTTTTTCTTTACTTTCTTTCTTCTTCTTATCTTTTCTTTGCTAAAATTCGTGAACTAGATGTTAATATAAGAAAACTTAATTAAGATTAAACATACCTGGCATATATTCACGGTTCGAAAAAAAAAAAAAAAAAAAAGTGCATCAAGTGTGCCATTAAGGCAAGATTCAACTCTAAAATCTCGAAAACAGCTATGGTGATGATGTTAGGAGTGGTGGGACCAAAAGTTATTTTTCGCAATGTGTTTTTTTTTTTTTTCATTGAGCATGAGACTAATAACTTTTTTATTATTAGTTTTTGATAATTGTTTTTTTAACTTGATATATTTGATATAAAAGTATAATTATGTTATTTATTTATTTTACATGTATTCAAGTTCTTCAATATAATTGAGTAATAGTATAACATGTATTTTGAAATAAATATCATGTGGTGATAATGCTTGAAGATTCTTGAAATTTTTTCGTTAACCGCTTGTGTGGTAGTTTGAGATGACAACGATGAAGAATCTGACTTACAGGTTAGACATATCATTATTTTCAGTTTATACAACCCAATAAGATGAATATACCCTTTTGTATATGTTTTACTTTTATGTGTGTGTATATATATATATATATATATATATATATACACACATTAAATCCTCTTTAATTACCAAAATTAGATGGAATAATCTTGGTCATCTGAATCCTTAATCCAATAGCTAATAATGGTTCTTATGTTCTCACACTCCATCGGAGGGGGTTTAAGGACCTTCGCTTCATTTGATGTTTCCCATATAGAGGGAGTTGGTATATGATGCATTATTTCTATTCAGTATACGTGAAAAAAAATATATAAACGAAATGGTGACTGCCTAAAATTTAACGATCGCACTGCCTTTATTGCATGACCACATAATATACCAGAACGTTGCCGTTTTTCACATAAAATATTGTAGATTGAGAACACTATTTTCATTCCAGCACGTTGCTCAATACAGTCATTTGGCCTCATTAAAATCTAAAACCATGTTTCCATACACTATGTTATGTCGAGTCTGTTGTAGTCTAGGCTCTAGAGGTAGAATTTAGTTGTTTCCCTTAATGGAAACCGCTAAAGAGATGTTGCCTAAGTAGTTCCCTTTAAGAGGACAAGGGACTCACTATGAAATTCAATGGTCGATTTTCACATAAAATATTGTAGATTGAGAACACTATTTTCATTCCAGCACGTTGCCCAATATATTCCTTTGGCATCATTAAGATCTAGAACCATGTTTTCATACACTATGTTATGCCGAGTCTGTTGTAGTTTAGGCTCTAGAAGCATAATTTAGTTATTTACCTTCATAGCAATCACTAAAGAGATGTTGCCTAAATAGTTCTCTTTAAGAGGACAAGGGACTCACTATGAAATTCAATGGTCACATGCAATTTAGAAATGTGTGAATCTACAAATTATTTGTCAATCAATCATAACAATATTAATGAAAAGGAAGTTAACAAAACTTTATTCGTGGATTTGCTTGGATGAATTCATTTTCAGTTTTAGGTCATTTCTATTCATGGTGGTAAATATAAGTATGTGTAAACCTTAACCAACATTTATGCGGACACAAATTGGACTACAATAGCAACTGTCCTGAAATACACTTCTCAGTCCACAACTCCAAAATCATTTTGTCGCATCTTGTCATATAATCTGTCGCCTCCAACATGATTAAATTGTATCCAGAACACAGTAATCTAATCTGGATTCAACGGTCATTTCAATGAACACATGAAAAGTGGATCAAATACTTTTATTTCACAACATAATATATTCATTTTTTTAAATATCCCTAATCAGTTAGTGTATCTCTAAACAAATATATTTAGAATTTTCAATGCTTGATTTCCAATCAGAAGTATCAAATAAATAAACAATCATCCAATCCAAATAAAACAAAGCAATGTTTTCCCAAACTAACAGAAATGAAACAATCATATCACAATAAACAAACTCCAAACTCCAAACTCCAAATTCCAAAACAACAAGCACACACAAATCATCAAACTTACATTATTCTCCAATCTCAAACAGCTCTCAACAACCCTTCACTATGAGCTCTTCTCATCGCAAGATCCGGCATAAAGCTCAAAAGATTCGTACTCGCATCATGAAACTGCTGCTGCCTATCACCCGTCACCTTCACCCCACTAGGCGGCAACCGCCCATGCCGCCCACGACCCACCGCCGGTTGACTTTTCCTTCCATGTGTTGACTTTTTCGATTCCGCCCTTACCCCACGCTCAATCTGATGAGCAGAAATCCCAAGTCGGGCAGCTCGGTCAGCCGAGTCTTTCATGGTACCAGATTTGATCGATTGTCTATTAAAGTAAGCAAGATGAGGAAGAAGACCAAGTAGAAACTTCTTCAGCTGTTCATCTCCTATGTTTTTCTGAGCAGGGTTGCCTTCTAGACTGATTGCTTGTAAGGAGTTGTAATTAGCTGCAAGCTGGCCCAGGCTTTTTGTGGTGGACAGCTTGTTGAAACGAAGATCCAAGACGTTCAGTTTTAGGAGACGATGTAGACCCTCCACCTCACTTATCTTGTTTCCAGATAAGTACAGTTCTTTTAATGAAGAACATGATGCAAGACCTTTTAAACACACAGACTTGTATAATTAGGACATTGTCCTATAAAGTACAATATTCTAATAAGAAATAATTTGAAATTACAATATTACATACCATGTCCAATTCTGAGAATACGATTGTAGCTAAGATCAAGTACACGTAGTCTAGTGAGTTCTCGAAGACCTTCAATGGTGGAAATACTGTTCTTTGAAATATTTAAAATATGGAGTCCTCGAGGAAGTGCACCTGAAGTTATCCTCACTAAAAAAAACAAATAATATCATTAATAAATGAAATTAGACGACATGTTATCAAAATGTAAATGATTGGGATTCAAACCTATTGAATTTCCTGACAAATTAAGCGCGCGAAGGCTTGTGAAAGCACTGAGAAAAGGGATAACAACTAATCCATGGTTTGAAAGCTGAGCTGATGTGGCGGAAGCACCCAAACTAGAAATATATCTCTTAGCAGCATCCATACCCAAAAGGGTTTTCGCGTCATTTTTCGAAGCTACCATGGGATCCAAGATGACACTTTTACCATTTTGCCCATGTTGATCGATAATGTCTGAAACAACACTTGTTTCTTCCAATGAAGAACAATGTTGAAGATCCAAGACCCATTTCTCAATTCGTTTAATCCTGAAATCCTCATTCGGCAATTCCTCCCACCGACAATCTGAATAGTCTTCTTGGACGCTTTTACCCTTCCCTAGTTCATCCACCGCAGGGACAATCCAGTCTTTTGCAGAACCCACATAGTCATAACCATCATCACCATCAATTTTATCATCATGACCTTCACTGTCATTTTCCGGCGAGATTTCGCCGGAATTGTTATCGGAATTGTCTGGTCTTGAATCGAATGCCTTCAAGTCCTCAGAAGATCGAGATTGATGAACAACATTTGAGTGATCCGAATGCAAATATGGCAATGAATTTGATTTCACAATAGCATGTGGAGTAGTACACGGTGGTGTCTGGCTGCCAGAACCGGCGGTACCTTCGCCGGAAAACCGAATCTCGGAATTTTCCGGCGAAAGTTCCGATGTGTGGTTAACCAAATTTGAACTTATCTGAGGAGAAATTGAAGACTGAGCATTATGATACTCTTCTTTTTCGTCATTTTGACCTCCGGAATCACTATGATTGTTATGAGAAGATGATGACTCATCGCCAGGTGGCATGTCTTGATAGTGTGCTAGGCCAGTTCCTAGAGACACACTCTTCCTCATTGTTTTTATTTGGTGTCCATCTTCACTGTAGTTGTCATTTGTGCTTTTAAGTCCTTCAGATTTCCAATCTTGAACCATGGAAGAGGGAGATGAAGTAGCATTGTTGCCTTCGGGAGATTCTTTTAAAGAGACAGGATCTTTCTTCGGTTGCTTTACATGGTAATCTTCCAATGTTTTTTGCATTGCTTCCGTAGGCAATTGAACCGTTTTCTACATAATACAGAAAGATACAATGGTCAATACAGACTTTACTATGTTTGGCGTGCATTAGACTGGGACTGATGTCAATAGGAAAAAAATTTTACAGCTTTTCGTCCTACCCAAAAAGGTGGGACATGGACCCGCTCTCCATCTCCCGTCTGTGCAAAAGACGAAAACACCCTCATTGTCCTCATTATCAAAAATAATCTTAAAAAGCTTGTCAAGTCATGT